CTGGGATTACTAGAAATGAGTGGGATACCCGGCCCTTCCCTAAATCTACTGTTCTTCAGGTAGTCCATGAATAGGGCTTTGTTCCTGTTGCCCCCTGTACCCATGTAGTTCTGGAGGACACTGGCCCTCTTGGCTCCAATAAAACCAAATTCTGGGCACCAGTATCCACCATAAACTCAATTGGTTTCCCCTCTATTTTCAGGGTTACCCTGGGCTCAGGGAGGGGGACCTGAGCCCTGTCTCCCCTAGTCACTGTCTTCACCCCCAATTAGAGCCTTTAATACCTTAGCTGATTGCTTATTCTTCTTGGGGCAGTCCTTCACCCAGGGCCCTTCCTCCTTGCAGTACGCACACTGGTTTTTCCCTACCTTATTTCGTGGTCTGGATCCCACCAATGAGCTCCCTCTGTACTGAGGGTTGGTTGCTAATAATATCTCTCTGTGGTCCTTCTTGTGGTGGGCCTGTTGTCTCTCCAGGACCCTGGTCAGGCTTGCTTCCTGTCTTTTTTCTTTTTTTTCCTCTCTTTGTTCTGCTGTCTCCCTTCTATTATCTACTTTTCCACCACTGCTATTAAGTCCCTAAGGTTCTTTTCTCCTAGTCTATCTAAAGATTATAACTTTCTCTTGATGTCAGGGGCTTTATTTTTAGGGTTACCCTGGCTCAGGGAGGAGACCTGTGCCCCGTCTCCCCTAGTCACTGTTTTCACCCCCAATTAGAGCCTGTAATACCTTAGCTGATTGCTTATTCTTCTTGGGGCAGTCCTTCACCCAGTGCCCTTTCTCCTTGCAGTACGCACCCTGGTTTTTCCCTACCTTATTTCGTGGTCTGGATCCCACCAATGAGCTCCTTCCGTACTGGGGGTTGGTTGCAAATAATATCTCTCTGAGGTCCTTCTTGTGGCTGGCCTGTTGTCTCTCCAGGACCCTGGTCAGGCTTGCTTCCTGTCTTTTTTCTTTTCTTTCCTCTCTTTGTTCTGCTGTCTCCCTTCTATTATAAACCTTTTCCACCACTGCTATTAAGTCCCTAAGGTTCTTTTCTCCTAGTCTATCTAAACGCTGTAACTTTCTCTTGATGTCAGGGGCTGCTTGGTTAACGAAAGCAAACATCACAGTTTGACCTGATTCCTCCGCTTCTGGGTCAAACGGAGTGAACTGCTGGAAGGCGTCTTGTAACCACTTTTAGTATGAGGCTGGGCTTTCTTCAGGCCCCTGCTGACATCATAGACCTTAGACATATTGGCGGGTTTTTGAGCCGCCATTTTGAGACCCACTAACAGAGTCTGGCGGTGGACCAGGAGCCTCTCCTTACCTTCTGCCATGTTGTAGTCCCAGTTGGGACGGTTAGGGGGAAAGCTGGCATTAATGAAGCCTGGGTCTGTGGTAGGGTCCCCGGTGGGGCCCGGAACCAATTTCTGGGCTGCCTCCAGGATCCTGTTTCACTCCTCAGTAGTGAACAGGACACTCAGGAGCTGGTGGCAATCATCCCAGGTGGGCTGGTGAGTGAAGAGAACAGTTTCCAATAAGTTAATCAAGTCCCTGGGGTTTTCAGAGAAAGGTGCATTCTGTGAGAGACGATTGTAAAGATCACTGGTGGCAAAGGGCCAGTAATGAAAGGGCCAATTGCCCTCTCTGTTGGGGGTCCCTGCCAGCCAGAGGGGGAGGACAATGGTGTCAGGCTGGGGGGCCGCCCCCCTCCGGCTCCATGTGGCCTGCGCAGGTCCCTGTGGAAGCGATGGTGGCTCCTCAGGGTTAGGAGGCAGGGCCTGCACTTGTGGCGCCCTTGGCGGGGTGCCCATCTGAGAGGAGTAGGGTGGGGGAAAGATGTTGTTCTCCTCTGTGCCTCCCTGGAGAAAGGGTTTCTCTTCCGCCTTTGGTCTGAGAGGGAGGACCTGCAGAGGTGGAGGGGGAGCAGTTGGATTAATCAGGGGAAGGAAGGACTTGACCCAGGCGGGGGGGGGGCATTGGTTGTTCGATGAGGCCTTGCAGGTCACGATGTATGGGATCTGGCCCCGGTGGCCCATCCGTGGGCTGAAGACATGGTCTGCTACCCTGGAAATCAAACTCAGATTAAAAGTCCCTTCAGGGGGCCATCCAACATTGAAGGAGGGCCAATCAACCGAACATAAAGTTGTCCATTTCTTTTTCTTTACATCTACACTATTGTTATGGGCAATCGTCTTAACGTCCCCCCAGTGGACTAGTGTAAGATCTAGAGGGGAAGATGGGGTGTTGCTCATAGTATTTATCAGTCCCGTACATTTTGTCAACAAAGAAATTAGAACAAAGATCACAAGACACAAGAATGACACAGACAGAGCGCCCAAATTAAACTACCGCAGCTTTCAGATGGTCTGGACTCTCAGCCGTGTAGATTCCCTGGCTTGATTGTGCCAAAGACCATACAGATAGGACTCACATGTCCCAACAGGGTCGCAAGGTCCTCTGAGGCTTCAGATGGACTAGTGTCCTGGTGGGGTGTCCGGTGGGGAACACCCACCCCGACGAGGATGGGGATGTCTCCCGAATCCTCCACGTCACCTTGCTAGCATTCCAGAGACAAAAAAATGAGATCAGATGCCCACGAAAAAGGAAAAGTATAGAAAACACAGGCGGACAAAAAGACAGGGGGGACAAACACAGTTTTACAAAAACTTACCCGGCCGGATAATCACAAACTTTTGGGGTCGGTTCCTCTTGGAGGTCTCTGGGGGGAATCCTGGAGGAGTCCCCAAATGTTTTACCTCATCCACTGGACCCCAAAAAGACCACCAAGGACCCAACACACCAAAATGCAAAAGCAAATGTTTATGGTTTATTCAGGCTTAAGCTCGGCTCTCAGACATCACCAACTCAATGGATCTGTGCTGAGAGCCCAGAGTAAGAGAGAGTGGAGCCCTTTATAGGTTTTAGACAAAGGGTAGGGGATACCGAAGATACATTTTGGTTGGTTCAAGGAGCCCACACCAGCCAACATAATTTTAAACCGATTGGATATATAAGATGCAGCCCTGGAAGTTTCTTATTGGTAGGTGCTATTCTCAGGGCTGTGGAATGTGCTGTGTTACCTATGGGGCCAGGAGTCTCTCATTTTACCTTATAGGGCAGTTTTTATGCGCAGGCTTGCTTAATCTATAGTTTCCTAGAAGGGGGGTGGGGAATAGCAGGCAGGGGTCAGGGCATGCCAGGGTATGTCTAGGCATGTCTAAAGCAGCAGTTAAACATTTTACCGAAGCTAAAAGAGTAAGTAGTGGGGGTCTGGAGGGATTGGGGTGTAGCGGGTGAATGAAGAGGGTCTCAGGGTCCTACACTGTATGAAGTTCAAAAAACATCAATAAATAATGAAAAAAATCCATTGGTTGCTCAATAAAAATTAAAATTATTTTTAATACTATAAAAGATAAAATATATTTCTTCGTTTTGAATGCTACTGAAATAGACTTACTACCTTTACTTTGGGACAAATTACTAGTCTTCAAGTTCATTTACAACTAACCCATCAATGGCTAATCATTTCAGGAAATGGAAATGAAGTAACAAAATAATAACATTTACATTGTTGCTAATGTTCACAGAGCAGAAACAAAAGAGAAAATCCTACCAATTTTGTGGCTAATGTAGGTAAAAATAACTTTTTGTATACTTTTTAGTTCCTTTGTTTGACTTTGGCCTCAGAGAGTACATTCATGATAAGATATCACACTATATTCCTTAAAGACATTACTTTGTAAGTTTTCAAACACCAAGCCTACAGTTTTAATTGGAAAATCTATATGATATAATTGAAAGATATTGTTTATCAATTTTCATCACAGATTAACCAAATAAAAAATGATGCCCATTTTATTGCTATACATAAATACACTTGAACATACAGATGATTTCTAACTTTAATTTTATTTGTATTCTGATATCAAACACAAATATTAGGAGAAAAATTCTTTTTCGTGGAAGGAAATACCCTCTCATCAGTTTCTTTCTGTTCTTTTTTGGGTAATAGAGAAGATGTAGTCTCACAGTTGGTGTTTATGACCTAGTAAGAATTTCATCATAACCTTAAATATTCTCTACATTTCCCTCTTTAATCAACAATTTGATTATTTTTCTTGAAAATAAAAACATGGGACTATGGTTTGCCTCCTTGTACACATTTAATCAATATTTACATATCATACACGTGTAGAGGTACATAAAGGTTTTCTTTGTTGAGCTTTCAACAAGCAAATGCAAAGCTTTTCTGGTTATATTCTTTTCTAGAGCCCCTGAACCAACTTATTTCTTTCCTTCTAGCAAAGGCCTATGGAGAATTTGCAGTTGCCCATAAACCTAATCAATTTGATTGCTCCAAGAATTTCTAGTTATTTAAAATTCTGGAATGATTTATTTGTAGTTGCCTTTATGCAGGTAGGGAGATGGTTTGTGGTGATAAGACTGTGTTTCACTGGAAATAGAGGCATCTTTGTTATAATCTGTCATAAATTGTCCTCATATCTTCAACCTATAGCTTAGTATATTCTTGGGAGTTGATATGACAACCATGTGAAACTCTCCAAATTGGTGCACAATAATCGAAAAAGGTCACAATACGACAGTGTCAACCTGAGTCCAACGTCTGTTATTTCCAAATTTGATATTAGGTAATGTTGAAAAGAAAATGATACCTACAGAACACTCACTCAAGATACAAAGCAAAGATCTCTCTTTTAATCTCATGTATTTTTCTTTTACTTATTGTTTTCTATATTTATTAGTTTGTATTTTTAAACAGTAAGTTATCTTCAAAGTATTTCTTGAAAACCCTACATTATACATAGACACATGCTGAAGAATTTTAAGATACTTTTACATATATTTTGATATTGTTTTATATATATCTATTATTGTTTGTTGCACAAGTATGAAATGATATGAGTAAACTAAATGTCCATTGTCTAAATATTGTAAGATCACATGGAAACTAAGAAAAAAATTATTATCATTTAAATTTATCTTATTTTCCCCCAGAAATCAAAAATCTCTACATATGATAAAATGTGGGCATTTATGAGCAGCAGGAGACAGTCTGTGCTTGTCAAGAGTAATGAAGAAGGGATCCAGCGAGTCCTTACTTCTGATTATGCTTTCCTAATGGAGTCAACAACCATCGAGTTTGTTACACAGCGGAACTGTAACCTCACACAGATTGGTGGCCTTATAGACTCCAAAGGTTATGGTGTTGGAACTCCTATGGGTAGGTTACACGACAGCCACTTTATGTTTGCTCATTAAAATTATCTGCTACTTGAAAGGGAGAAAAGAGGGCATGTATCACAGAAAGTTTTGTATTTACGTATTGTATCTTATCAACATTTTTTACTGCGTAAAAGCAGGTTATTATTTTGGACATATGGTTCTAAATGAACAAATCAAAAAGAAAAATTATTTTCTAGCAAATACCCAGTAGATATTTTTACTGTATATAGGTTGAAATATCTGTAACTCATTCTTAACACATGATTCTGAAGAACATTCAAATTCTCAAACATATGTATTATTAATATTATTGTTATTATTAATAGACTAATATTCTTATTTTGGTTTTTTTGAGATAGAATCTATGTGAGCTAGGCTGACCTCAAACTTACAAATCATTCTCTAACCTCAACCTCCTAAATGAGGGATGCTGGAAATATGGGTGTAAGTCAAAAGTCACCAATCAAATGCTTTTTTTTTTTTTTTTTCAGTTTCATGAATGCATTAAACTTTGCAAAATGTTATTTTTCCAAATTTGAAGTGTATGAATCTTACTAACAGAGTTACCTAAGTTACCTAAAAGAATAAAGCCACAAATGTTTCTTACAATTATTATTTTGTTCCACCAAAAGTGCGGTAGTGGTAACAAACTAATTGCCAGTGATATGTCTATATTTGATACCCTGAATTAGCTGTCTTTGACATTCCTCTTCTTATTCATGACAGATATTTTTTAGTCTTTATAAAATTAAATAAGAAAAGACTTTCATGTAGGGTATTGGAGTATACACTTGTAGTTTTAACTACTCCAGAGGTTGAGGGGAAGGATTGTTTCAATCCATGAGTTTGAGACCAGCCTGGAAATGAGTGCAAGCCACCATCATATAATAATAATGATGAAAATGACAATTATCACAGTAATTTCCAGGAAAATCAGTGAGAGTTTTGATAATACATGTTCATACATGTAAATAGGTATCTGTTTGCACTCTAAATAAGTGCATAAATAATAGTATAGCTTATGTGTATATGTAGTAGAAAGAAGAATGATTACATGATGATGTTCATACCTTTAGTCCTCAGTGTCTATGAACTAGCCCCTTAAGTAGACAAAGTCACTCTATAGATGTAATTGAATTAAATCTATTGAGATGGGAAGATAGCCTGATTAATCAAGTCAGTCTAATGTAATCACATAGGGCCCTCAAGAGAAACAAATAGTAGTGTAAAATCACAGTTGCAATGTAGGGTAGAAGAGAGTAGGGAAATGGATGGAGAGAAGAGAGAATGGAACAAGCAAGAGATAAATAAAGTGCTGCCTGGTGGTTATAGAGGTGGGGGAAAAGGTCATAGGCACAGAAATGCAAATAACCTTTAGAAGTTAATAAAGTAAGGAAATAAATTCTTTCATATAGATTGTATAAGCTTAAGCTATTTGAGGTGTCTGATATACCACTCTGACCTCAAGATCTGTGAGATAATAAATTAGGTATTGTGATCAAGACAATGAATTTATGGTAATTTGTCATAGCTGCAACAGGAAACTTGTTATACAAAAAGAAATATAACAATAGCATATTTTACATTACAATATCTTTGAGAGAAAAGGGACAAAATTTTAAAAAATTAAAAAATTTTAATTTTAAAATGTTTCTAATACATACACAGCATTAGAATGTTAGATACAATTTAATAAAAAATCCCATTTCATTATTACAATGCTATCAAAATCTTTAATCATTTAGGGTAATTTTGGCAATTTTCAAATGTCTGAGAAGACTTGAGTGTACTTCTATAAAAATTTCAACAAAATTTAACATTAAATCCTACTATTTGGGAGCACATTTGAAAGTCTTTATGTCTCAAGTAGTTAGAAGTGACTATGAAAATATTTTAAGTCACTCAATGCTGTCATATTGCATATTCCTCCTTTTATCCAGTAGATAAAATGAGTGCATAGTCTTTGTAGAAATGAAAACATATTTAAGTTCTTATTAACAAATTATAGAGTGTGGATTAGTCCGCATGTTTTGGGAGGCCAACTGTATTATAGAAATCTCTAATTTAATTTCTAAGTAGAATACAATATGTGTGAAAGAATAAAATATAAATATATGCTAACCTGAAGTCCAGTAAGATCACAATAATTTGGGTAGAATTTTGAATTATGAAAAAGATATTTTGAAGAATATATTTTATCTTTAACATATTTCATACTTGCCAGTGCATAGTAATCATTAGCAACCTTGTTTTACATTCAGCACAGAAAATGTCTCCCTTTGATTGATCATACCAGGGAAAGACCTCAAAATGTTTTGTCCTTATTATGGCAGTGTTGTGTACAAGTTTTCAAAAGAGTTACAATTAATTTTAATACAAGATAAGTTACTGGATTTTAATATAGTTTGATAAACAAACTTCAAAATATTGAATTATATATTTTTTTCTCTAAAATTTGGGTTTTGATGCAATGCTCAAAATAATCCATTCTCTGTCCACAGATCAGATATGCTTCTCTGCCTCAGTAGAAATACATAATGAACCCAGAAAATTCAAGTTATTGCAGCACTTATTTAGAATTGTGATGTTTACTTTTTTAATAATTTTGAAATATCATTTTTGATTCTGTGAGAAATTATATATACTCAAGGAAAGAGATGGCAACATACTATTAGTGTAGTGTTCTGCAGAGTAATCTGGATTTAGTTTTTTAAGTTCTGGATCTCTTGGAATAGTCTCTTACAAAGGTACTGACTTTAGGGTCCTTCATTTATGAATTTATTTACTTCCTTTTTAAGTAACTTTCATTATGTAATCCCAGGAGGTCATGAATTCCTCAAAGGCTCAAGTAATTCTCCACCCTTACTTTTTCAAGTATCTATCATGCATCACTATATCTGGTTAGATTTCTTTTAATTATTTTATTTATGCATACATGTGTATGACTATCTGTATGTACATCACTTATGTACAGTGCCCCAAAAGACCAGAAAAGGGCATGAAATCTGGACGTGAAGTTACCAATAGTTGTGTGCCAACTGATGTAAGTGCAGCGAGCCAAACTGTCTACAATAAGTGCTCTTAACCCTGAGCCCTCTCTTCTCTACAGCACCACCATCACAACCACTATTTTTGTAAAAAAAAAATTTGTATTTTTTAAAAATTTCATGTGTATGAATGTTTTGCTTGTAAGCATACCCCGTGTGTAAAATGCCGGCAGGGACCAGAAGAAGGCATCAGATCCCCTGGAACTGGTATTATGGATAGGTTTTAGCTGCTGCCATGTGGGAGCTGGTAACCAAAGGGTCCTCTGGATGAGCCTAAGTGCTCTTAGCCATTTTTCCAACCCCACTACCTCTTTTTTAACTACTAAGAACTCTCAGAACTCAGAATACACTTTAAGTCCTTAATATAATTTGTCAAATATGTGTGATATATTAAAAAATTGTTTTAAATTGGACCAGAAAGTGCATGAAGGAATGGTTAGACACACTCTTAGTGTAAGCATGAAGTGTATTACTATGGGCTTGCTAGAATGCTACTATGTGAAACCTATTTCTAATGTCATTTCAGGAAGGAGATTCTTGCCTATACTCACCATCCTCTGAATGAGGGCCAAGCTTTTGGTCTCTGTTGTTTGTGGTTGTTGTTATAAATGTACTCTCGAACGCTCATTTATTATTTACTAACTAAAAAAACTTCTTCATCCAGATATATCATAAAATGGAAAGCTATAAATATAGGGATGTCAGATTTCTTTTAGAACTAGTGATAAAAATGGTATATTGGGCAGAATTATGGGGGACCGTTCTTCGCCAGCAATCTGAATTGCCTCTGGTACTCTGAAAGCCATCCATCCAGTGGCAGGGAGTTTCCAGCTTAGTCCAAGCTTGGTTTCTCCCTCTCTGGTGCTCACATCATGCAGTGTCTTCAGCAATAGGGTTTTACTGTCTACTTTTAGTGTACAACCAACATTATTGGCAATGGCCTTTATTGTTTTGGAGACAATAAAGGGGCCTCTCTAGGGCCTCTCTGTCCACTTATAGGGGGACACCCCACCTCTGGCACTGGGATTTTCATTTAACAACTGTATGGCTTCTGGTAGGACTTTCTTCCATCCCTGTAGGGGTTCTTCTGTGTTTAAGGCTTTTTTTTTAAACTGTGCATCAGGAGAATTTTTTTCCCCTTTATTCCCATAGTTCTTTGTATATCCCTCCTTCCCCAACATACCAAACAAGATGTTCTAGCTTGTGAACAATAGTGGCACATCTAGGGTATGTGCAACCAGCAAAGTTTTGATTGGCTATAATGCCCGCTCCTGGAGGTAGCACACGCAACTGGTACTGTAGACCAGGTCAACCTCCTGTGGCAGGGGATTGACCTGGATATATTGACCTATATCCACACTGGGATATAGGCCCCAGAAATACACTGAAGCTTGAAAAGGTATTTGAGGCTTTTCTGTTTTTCCAAAGAGTTAATGAGATAAATTTACAGGAAGAAAAGCAGCACTAGCTTAGATTGTAGAAAACTTACAGAAATTCCAGGAATTCCTTAACAGCCTGACGCTATCTTTAGGAAATGATAATGTCATGTCCAAAGTGTGATAAAATAAAAGACCTTCCTTTTTTTCTAAAGCTTTTTTGCTTTCGTTACTGATCAGATTTTAAGAAACTTCCATGGAAGTATATGTTTCCATGAAATAAATGAATGCAGAAAATATTATAATTTGTTTGGAAATGGGAAAGCAGAAACAAATTTGAAAAATGAGACATTACCTGCTCCTAAATTCCCTTTAGTGTTTTGCAAAGCTGCTAGCCTGCCGGGATCCTCCTGTTCTTCACTTGGGGGCCTCCCTTTCCATTCATCACTCTTAGTGTGATGATTACTGTCCAAAGTATGCTGTGAAACCACTGAATGACTCAGATATAGAAGCTATTTAATTAGCGATGCTCTGTTTACACAAAAATACTTTAGTGAAGCAATCAACAGTGATGT